ACTGCACTCCAGTCTGGGCAACAGAGTGAGACTCCAACTCAAAAAAAAAAAACAAAACAATAATAGTGTACGGCTATCAGTGGTAGTAATAGTGATAGCTGGTTGGGTACATACATGGGCTGAGTAATGAATAGATATGTTGGGAGATAGTTTGAAAGATGAACAATTTGATGGAAAGACAGATGGGTGATGGGAAGATGACTTGTCTGTGTGGATGAGGGTGTCTCTGGGATTTATCCTACACACCTAGCCTGTGTTTATCTTCTGCATTTTCAGAACAGTGAAGATTGATGTGTATGACTGGGATCGGGATGGAAGGTAGAACTGCCCTATATAGTTCTTTCTCATGTACTTGACCCAAACAGTTCTATGCAATATGTAGTATATCCACTAGGAACCCCAATGTAGCCTTGGGAGCCAGGAAGAGTGGTGATAGATACCAAGGCCTTGGGTACACTGATCCCCTCAGTTATCTCTCTGGATACTGCCTTTTCCTTTTTTCCCCATAGCTCCCCGCTCCCCTTCTGGCCTCAGCCCTTGTGCCCTGCAGCCCAAGTAGGGGCTTAAGATAGGAGGAATAAAAGATTAGGTTCAGGCCTGGCTCCAAATCAGCAGCAACTGCAGTTTACCTACCTCTGGCCTCATTGCAGCCATGATTTCATTGGTGAGTTCACCACCAGCTACCGGGAGCTGAGCAAGGCCCAGAACCAGTTCACAGTGTATGAGGTGAGAATTCCAGCCCTGTCTAGGTTACCCAAGCCCTCCATTCCAGTGTGCTCAGTCTGGAGTTCCCTTCCTTTGTTTCCCACCATCACTATTACCTTCCTCTGCTTAGGTTCTTAACCCTCGGAAGAAATGTAAGAAGAAGAAATATGTCAACTCGGGAACTGTGAGTGCTCCCTGGAGCTCTAACCCTCCCCGGATCCTTCTGTTTCTCCTCACTGACATAGTGTGACAAATATTGAGGGTAGGGGAAGGCAGTGGGCACAGACAGTCATGTTGGGCACAAAGAGCACCACTTGAGTTTTTCTTTTTTTTTTTTTTTTCTCATTCAGGAAGATTTTCTGAGCTTTACTCTTTTGCAGAATAAAAGGGGAAAAAATCCTAAATTGCATTTCCCAACTTAATATACTTTTGGAAATTCAACTATGTTTCTGACAGCTTCCCCTTTTTTCCCTTTCAGAATTCAAGGGTGTGACAAGTGCCTTTCTCCAAAGCCCTACTATGCCTTTTTGCCTTTCAGAAATTGAACAGGAGGCAGGAATCATCTGCCTCCCATCATGTGCCTCTCTCCAAAGCCCTACTGTGCCTCACTCCCTTCTGCTACCCCAACTGCCCTTTCCAGAGTGGCAAGGCTGCCTCTTTTGTCCCACAGGTGACGCTGCTCTCCTTCTCTGTGGACTCTGAATTCACTTTTGTTGATTACATCAAGGGAGGGTGAGTCACAGGCCAAGCTCTGGGCTGAAAGCCAGAATAAATTACTCCCAGTTCTAAGTCCCAGATTTTTTTATTTATGAATGGTCAGGACCCAATGAGATCATGGAGATAAACCTTAAAATACTTGGCAAACTATAAAGTGTTCTGTAAAATACTAAATGTTGCCCCTCTTAATTCTCTTCAAGGGGCTGCTAGATTCCAGTCCTCCCTGGAAAGCTGCCAGATCAGTGGTCTTCAGTGATGGCACCAGTTACCTAACTGGGTCTCAGATAAAAGTTATAGCCAGGCAAGAGGGAGAGGCTGAGAGAGGGAAAAGTCAAGCAGACTATAGGGAACTTTCTGCTTGGTTCAGTGAAGACAGGCAGACCTAGGAAAGGTAGTTTCCTTCTCTGCACCTCACTCTTCTCCTATGTAAAATGGGGATATTAATTACTACTTCAGGGCTATAGTAAGGGTTAGATTAAATTACATATACATTTGTCTCACAGTAGGCATTTAATTTTGCTATCCAAAGTGTGGTCCATACGCCAGCAGCAGCAGCATCACTTGGGAGTTTGTTAGGCTCTACCCAAACCATCTGAATCAGAATATGCATGTTAACATGAGTCCCAAATGATCCATATGTACATTAATTTAAGAAGTAGTGGTGTAATAAGTACTAGATTTTCATTTCTCAACCCATCTACTTCCCCAACAGGACACAGCTGAACTTCACAGTAGCCATTGACTTCACAGCTTCCAATGGTGAGGCATGGATGAGGGAACAGTGACGGGTGGGGAAGAAATTCCAGGGGAGTCATTAGGGATTGGCCTGGGTTTCTATCTGGGGATGAGAGTTTACCTACTCAAGAAGTCTAAGCTTAGGTAAAACCTAGCTGGGATGATACTGGGGTGTGTGGGAGATTACTGGGTGTAAGGGTGAGCAGAGGGTACAGGAAAATAGACGAGTAGATGGGTCAAAAAAGTTGAAAGGAGAGATAGCTCAACAGGTGGATGAGGAAATGGATGGGAGGGAGAGAATGGGGGTATAAGGAGAGACGGTGGGAATGATGAGTGGATTGGTAGACTGATGAATAAACAGAGTGCGTAGATGCGTTGATGAGTGAGTACAACAGGCTAGACAAACAGATGAGTGGATGGGTATGTGGGTAGACAAAGGAACAGATGTTTAAGGTGGGAATAGAGCAGGTAAGAGATAAGGGAATAGGTAAGTAGATGAATCCAGATGAGAACAGATGAGTGAAAAAATGGAATGGAGAGCGCTGGCTGACTGGCTAAAATATTGCTGTATACATGGATGAAAATGGAAGAAACGTGGCAGGTGGACAAGTAGATGAATGGATGGATCCATGGACAGATGGACGGATGGGTGGATGGGTGGATAGCTGTATAAGACAATGGAGAGGCAGGTGGATAGAAATGGCAGGTAGGTAGGTGGATGTAGAGCCAGGTAGATGGGTGGATGGATGTGTAGGTAGGTGGACAAACGAATGGATAAACGAATGGGTAGGTAGATGGATAAATGAACAGATGGATGGCTGGGTAAAATGAGGGAATACATGGGTAGAGGGTGGATAAATAGATATAGGTGGATGGATGCATACAAGGGTAAGCAGGTAAACAGATAGATGATCCAGTGACCATGAGGCTTGGGTTCCTGTGTCCCTACAGGGAATCCCCTGCAGCCTACCTCCCTGCACTACATGAGTCCTTACCAGCTCAGCGCCTACGCCATGGCCCTCAAGGCAGTGGGAGAGATCATCCAGGACTATGACAGTGACAAGCTCTTCCCAGCTTATGGCTTTGGAGCCAAGCTGCCCCCAGAGGGACGGATCTCCCACCAGTTCCCCCTGGTATGGTATGGGCCAGAGCCTACACTCTGCCCCGGCATCTGGCCCATCCACATGGATGAATTTCTCCTATTTACATTTATTCTAAGGACAAGGGACTACCTTGGAGCAGGAAGCTAGGAGAGGGTGGCAGAGCATGGAGAGGAGCAGGGTTGGGTTTAGTGGGGAGTGTGAAAAAGACTGATGGAAGAAGGAATGAGCAGGGATCCTACATGGGTTCAGCTTGGCAAAGCATATTCTTTAACAGAACAACAATGATGAGGACCCCAACTGTGAGGGCATCGATGGTGTGCTGGAGAGCTATTTCCAGAGCCTGCGCACAGTACAGCTCTATGGGCCCACCTATTTTGCACCTGTCATCAACCAGGTGGCCAGGTAAGTGAACTAGGTGAGGGTTGGGGGAAGTAAGGGGACCTAGATAAGGGACTGACACCTCAAGGATAGTCAAGATCACTCTTGGATAAAGGTGGGCTTTGGGGAGAAGTGGAAAAGTTCAGTGTTGTCCAAGCCGGGCTCTGGTACAAAGAGGTTACATAATATAGTAGGCTCTCCATATCCACTGGTTCCATATCTGTATATTCAACCAACTACAGATCAAAAATATTTGGAGAAGCCGGGTGTGGTGGTTCAAGTCTGTAATCACAGCACTTTGGGAAGCTGAGGCGAGAGGATTGCCTGAGCTCACGGGTTCGAGACCAGCCAGGGCAACATGGCAAGACCTTGTCTCTACAATAAATAAATAAAAAAAATTAGCTGGGCACAGTGGCGCATGCCCGTAGTTCCAGCTACTTGGAAGGCTGAAGCGGAAGGATCGCCTGAGCCCAGCAGGCTGTGGTGGCCATAAGTGTGCCTCTGCACTTCAGCCTGGGCAACAGAATGAGACTCTGACTCAAAAAAAAAAAAAAAAAAAAATATGGGGGGAAAGAAACAATAAAAAATAACAATATAACAATAGAAAATAATAAAAAATTTTAAAACAATACAGTATAATAACAATTTATATAGCATTTCTATTGTATTTAGGTATTATAAGTAATCTATAGATGATTTAAAGCATGTGGGAGAATGTGCTATGCCACTTTATGTAAGGAACTTGAGCATCCAAGGATTTTGGTATCCACTGGGGTCCTGGAACCAGTCCCCTGTGGACACTGAGGGACCACACTACATTATTGTGGGGCAGAGAAGGTGTCAACAAACTACCTCACCTCTACTCACTGGGAATGACAACCCAGGGCTCAACCCAGGATGAGAGAAAAGAGCCTATATCACAGTGGTGAAGGCACAAGCATTGGCATCAGACCTGGGTGTGATCTTGGCTTCACCACTCATCAACCATGTGACCTTAAGCAACTTAGCCTCTTTAAGCATCCATTTCATTCCTTTAAGATGGTGAAATAATGGATGACAATAGCAGCTTCTTTATAGTTATTGTGAGGTTAAAATTAGATAACAGTGTAAGAGGTATTGGCACAGTGTTTGGCCCATGGTCAGTGCTCAATAAATGATAAATTAAAAACTAGAAGAGTAACTTTCCAAATTTTCAGAATAAAAATTTACAAAGCAAAGAAAACCCAGATGATACATCAATTTTTATGCATGTATTATTTATTTATTTTTAATTTTAATTTTAATTTTTTTGAATCAGAATCTTACTCTGTCGCCCAGGCTGGAGTGCAGTGGCACGCTCACAGTCACCTCAGCCTCAGCCTGCTGGGCTCAAGCGATCATTCCACCTCAGCCTTCCAAGTAGCTGGAACTACAGGTGCGCACCACCATGCCTGGCTAATTTTTTTGATTTATTGTAGAGATGAGGTCTTGCCAAGTTACCCAAGCTGATCTTGAACTCATGGACTCAGGCAATCCTCCTGCTTCCGCCTCCCAAAGTGCTGGGATTACAGGTATGAACCACCGTGCCTGGCTCAAATGATTTTTAAAAACCAAAGAGGGACCAGGCATAGATACCTGTATCCCAGCAACTCAGGAGTCTGAATCAGTAGAATTGCTTGAGCCCAGGAGTTTGAGACCTGTCTGAACAACATAGCGAGACCCCTACCTCTAACAAAAAATAAAAAAATAAATACACACAGGGTATTAAAAATAAATTAAAAATAACAAAATTTTAAGAATGGCAGAACTAAAACCAAACACATATCAATAAACATAAATAGGATAAGCTCTGATAGAGCTTTTTTCTTTTTTGAGTTGGAGTCTCACTCTTGTCAACCAGGCAACCTTGACCTGCTGGGATCTGGCAATCCTTCTGCCTCAGCCTTCTAGCTAGGTTTTTTGATTCATTGTAGAGATGAGGTCTCACCAAATTGCCCAGGCTAGTCTCGAACCTGCGGGCTCAGGCAATCCTCTTGTCTTGGCCTCCCAAAGTGCCAGGATTACTGGTATGAGCCACCACGCCCGGCCCTCATATTGCTTTAAAAAGATAAAAGGTGGCTGAGCGCAGTGGCTCAAGCCTGTAATCCCAGGACTTCGGGAGGCTGAGGTGAGAGGACTGCCTGAGCCCAGGGCCTTGAGATCAGCCTGGGCAACTTGGTGTGACCTTGTCTCTACAATATACCAAAAAATTAGCTGAGTGTGGTATCACATGCCTGTAGTTCCGGCTACTTGGAAGGCTGAGGCAGAAGGATGGCCTGAGCCCAGAAGATCGACACTGGGGTGGCCGTGAGCGTTCCATTACACTCCAGCCTGAGCAACAGAGTAAGACTCCAACTCAAAAGAAAAAAGAAAAAAGCTTCTATGATTGGATAAAAAAATAAGGAAGCCCCGCTTTATACTAAATACAAGAGACCCAGATAAAACAAAGAGCCTCAGAAATCTTGGAAGTAAAAAGATGAAACAAAAAGAGAATAAAAGTGGAAAGACTTGGGGGAGATTTATATGTCCACAAAATTTCTTTTTCCCTAATAAACATGTGTTTATTTTCTCATTCATAATGAGGATAATAGATTCTTTAATTATAAGAGTAACATAACTGTAGAAAATGTGAAGGATAGAGAAATGAAGTAAGAAATCACTCTGAATTCTGCCCATGGGAAAGTGGATATATATATAGTTCTTGACAGTCTTTTCCTTACACATCCATAATTACAGTCAAATTACATATAACATTTCACTACTTATTTTTTCACTGATACTGGAACCTGAGAATATTTTTGTTGTTATTAAATAGACTTCTTAAATATTATCTTGAGCAACTACACTGATTCATAATTTATTCATTCATTTAGTTTTTTTATTTCGTTTTGGTTTTGTGTTGGAGCCTCATTCCATCGCCCAGGCTAGAGTACAGTGGCACGCTCATGGCCATCCCAGCATCGACCTGCTGGGCTCCAGTGATCCTTCTACCTCAGCCTTCTAGGTAGCTGGAACCACAAGCATGCACTATCATGCCCGGCTAATTTTTTATTTATTGTAGAGACGAGGTCTTGTCAAGTTTCCCAGGCTGGTCTCAAATGCTCAGGCTCAGGCAGTCCACTTGCCTCTACCTCCCAAAGTGCTGGGATTACAGGCTGAGCCACCGAGCCCGGCCTATTCATTCATTTAGCAAACATTCAGTAAAGGGGCAATGTAGCATGGTCTGGGTGCTAGAGCTAGACTAGTGAGTACACTGGTTCTATCACTAAGTAACTGTGTGGCTTTGATCAAGACATTTAACCTGTGCCTGAATCGGCATTTGTAAAATGAAGATAATAATATCTACATAATAGGGTGTTATGAGGACTAATGAATATACGTCAAGCACTTAGAACAGTGTCTGCCACATCCTAAGTACAAGTGTTAGCTATTACTGTTACTATTATTATCATTATTACTATTCAAAGGGCATTTGCGGTGTACTCAGCTCTCTGCTGGGGCACTGGAGATTCACAGATGAATCAGATCTAGTCCCTGCCCTTGGGAGCTCCAGCCTTGGTGCAAGAGACAGAAATATAAATAAATCATTACCTTCTGTAGACCAGAGCTTCCCCGCCTTTTCTAGCAAGTTGCCTGTCAGCAAAGGCAAGTGAATGCATTCCCCTGGGGGAATCTGGGGGCATAGCCAAAAGCAGCCAGGCTGAGAATGTTTTTGAAGTCTCCATATTTAATTTTAAAAATTCATGCAAATTTTATATTCTTCTCACACTGCATCCACGTTTAATTTAGAAAAAAAAAGGTGTTTTAAGTGTACTTATAGTCATCTAGCTTTTTCCACTAGATCATGCAGTAAGAAACCACTTAGAGGAGCAGATAGCCCATCTTGGTGGGTAGGGCGGTATCTGAGAGGGAAAGGAGGTCATAGGTCTACCATAGAGGGGACTGCTCAGCTGGGTTAGAGGATGAGGTGGGCTTTATAAAAAAAAAAAAAAAAAAGAGGAATAGAGAATAGACTGATAGAATGAAAGGCATATGAAAAACACAGAGGCATGAAGGGGCAAGTTCAGGAAACAGTGAACAGTTTAATATGACCACACTGCACAAGGTCTATGGAAGAGTATCCAGAGAGCAGGCTGGGAATGGAGAGTAACAGAATCAAGAGCTCAAGTTTTAAGCTCTGCTGATCAAGCATGGGCTTGGACTCAAGCTTCAACACCCTTGGGGGATCCTACCTAATGTCTCTAAACTTTAGTTTTCTCATTTAAAAAATGGGAATTGTTCCCGCACTTTGGGAGGCTGAGGTGAGTGAATTGCCTGAGCCTGTGGGTTCGAGACCCAC